TCATAAGATTTCTCCCTGACCAGCCCTCTAGTCTGTCTAGGTCTCTTCATCCTCTGCTTTTATGTGGCTTAAGATAGTTTGGTCTCTTCTTTTTACACAAGATCTGAGGAAGGGAACTTTATTAAGGGGTTTATAAGACTAAAATGTGTTGAATAGTAATGGCAATATCTAAATAAGAGAGGCACTGCTAAATCCTTTCATTTCGGTTCTTTCTGTTTTTAATGAGTTTATTTAATTCTACAGAGAGATGTGTGTGGCCAGGAAAGCAAGAGTTTCCAAAATAGGGTAGGCATTCAAATTTTCAGACACTGTGCAGTATCGCCAGGGCCTAGAGGCATTTGGAGCTGTCAAAAACCATTCTGCTGGAGCTCTGGCTTCTAGTCTGCAACACAGAAGAGTTTCATGCTCTTTGAACTATGTAAAACAATGATTTGAAACTGCTGTAATTTTTCCTTAATATTTGAGGCTTCTAGGGTATTTACACTGAAGGCATTGCATGTTGGTCAACCTAAAGCCTGAACCTGTTGTGAAGCGTTACTGAAATTCTGTGTGTAGATGAAATATGAATAAATCTGAAATATCTATCCACGTTGAATAATTTACCTGTCTCTGTTATCAAAGTGCTTGCTTCTGAAGCAGAGTGCAGAGCTTGCCTCACTTATTAATAGTTAAGCCACTGTGGCTTCTTCTGTTCCCCACTCCCTTCTGCAAAAAGAAATTGGGTATCCATCCTGCAACAGTTATCGCTTGCTCCTGGGCTTGCCTTAGGTATCGTCTCTCGTGGAGTCCTTTGCATTAAAGGAGGGAAGAAAAAATTTGAGAACAAACAATTGTCAGCATTACTGCTCCTATGTGGCTCTGGCCGTTGAACCCATGAAAAGGGTGCAAGCTTTTATCTGCCAGCAGCTGTGCTGGGGTCCTCCAGTCTTCGGCGGAACAGCATCTCCTCCTGTGGAGGACTTTGTCTCAGCCTCATGGATTTGAATGTGAGCATTTTAATGCTTGCTAATGAGCAAATGCTACAAACTGCATAGAAACTACATGTAGCTGCAAATTAGGAGGGAAACAATAGTGCTAAGTGGAGCCACTGGGTTTAAAGCTAGCAGCAATCACATAGAATTTCCAGATGTGCGGCCTTCCCTCTCTCTGCTCTTTCTGTGCCTTCCACCCTTGTTCTGTTCTGTGTTCTTGGCCAGGCTCCAGCCACTGGGTAATAAATCTTGGGTATGAGTTGCTTGTTGAAAATAACTTCTGGAGGGAATAGTTTTGGTATTAGAGAATCAGATGTGCCTTTGAAGGATCTGTAGTATATTGTCCTAGCTAATCTACCTGTTAGAGGTGTGAGCCTGATTCTCTGCTTCAGACAGAAGGCATAAAAATAACTAGTGATTGATACGTCAGTGCTATGCAAGAAAACTTGGCTTTCAAGAAACTGTGTAATAATCAGAATTGCTTTGTAGGCACCTCAGTCCTTTAGCCTTAGCCTTCAAATAAAGTTGCTTTATTCCTTCTTCTATCTGACATGTAGAAAAACAAGTCTTTAAGCTCTTCTAGTTGAGTGCTTCCCTTGTCTCCAAACTCCACTTTCTTTCCTTCTGGTGTTCAGTTAAACTAATGTGTTCAGGCCTGGTGATGAAAGCAAGGAGAGGTTTTGCAGCATTTGAAAATAACCAGAATATTTAACTGCTGGAAAATCGGGCATCTGTCTCCCAAAATGCGAATGAGCAGAGAAGACAAACAATATCTCTGTAAACATTGAAAGATGCCTAGAATAAAGATTTGTGTAAGACAGTGTTTGTGTGACATGTCATTTAAAGCAAAATAAATAAATAAATAAAGGTCTTTATGTAAGCTACCTTTTCCTTTCTCCAACCTTTGAGGATGGCTAAAAGTCATAGAATCACAGAGTTGTTTGGGTCAGAAGGGACCTTTAAAGATCATCTAGTTTTGTAAACTGACTGTTGTTTGCCAGGTGCCGCCTGCTGAAACCGTTCCTCAGGTGAAGAAGGAGAAGCACAGTACGCAGGCCAAGAACAGAGCGAAGAGGAAACCTCCTAAAGGAATGTTCCTTTCCCAAGAAGATGTGGAGGCTGTTTCTGCCAATGCGACAGCTGCTACCACTGTACTCAGACAACTGGACATGGAATTAGTCTCAATCAAACGACAGGTATGGATGGGATGGTTCAAGAGTAACTGCTGGTTTTTGCTGTTAATGCCCGTCGTGGTCTGTCAAGTTTGCAGGAATTTGTAGCTTGACAGTGATGATGCGTCTCACTATGTGGCTTAATTGACAAGCTGCTAGCCTTGTGCTATAAACTAATATAGCCCTGTGTCTTACATCTCTCTGTTTTAGTTCTACGGGCAAACCTACTTATACCTAAACTGAAGCAGGAAAGGTCCATAGCACTAAGCTGAAGGATCATTTGTTGGTGTTTAATGTTTCTTACAGTTCAGAGTTCCTTATATTTTAACTATGAACTTTCTTCAGATGATATTGGTTTCAGCAATATCTGATTTCTGTCTGCAGCAATCCTTTGCCTTTTCCTATAGTACTTTTTGGAACAGGTGGATAACGTTGTGGGTTTTTTTTTTTTAATTCGTTCTTAGGCATCATGCAAACTTTCGTACATAACTTTTGCTTCCCTGATGGATATACCTTTTCAACAAATGTTTTTCAAATATCTGTTAGTAAAGACAGGTTTACTTAAATGAGTTTGTTTCCCAGATCTGAACATTTTCACTGCTTTTAAAGCAGATATCTGGCTCAAGCTCTTTATTGAACTTAATGGAATTGATATTTTGGCCTAAAGCCTTTTTCTTGGCACTCTGGGAGAAGCAGAGCTCTCTAGCAGTCTTTTATTCATTACTTGCTGTGAACAGGGCCTTTCTTCTTATGTTGGGCTGTATGCAGACCTGGAAGTTCGGGGAGTTCTTGCTCCAGATAACTTGCAGACAGGATCAAATACATTAAATGGAATCTTCTAATGTGCCCTTGCTCCTGCATTTGTTTATTCCAATATAACAAAACTTTCTTTTTGGAAAAGGGAGGTTGTGAGAAAAACTGGAATGCTGAGCTTGTGGGGTTCCTGCTGGGGCTGCTCGAAGAACGCTTTTCCAAAGAATTTATTTTTATTCTTTTTTCAGATTCAAAATATCAAACAGACAAACAGTGCGCTCAAAGAAAAACTTGAAGGTGGTATAGAACAATACAGACTTCCAGAGGTAAGATCATTTTCTGAGCTTTGTTTATTGTAGAGCTAAATGCTAATCTGAGTTTATATACCAGAGCTATTCATGTTGCCAGTAAACTAGGAGCTATGTCCCATTAATTGTCGGTGTGAAGTCCATTCACTATTGTTGTGTAGTGGAAAGTGAGACGAGAAGGAAGAGCCGTGTTTAACATATGAAAGTGGTTTCTAAGGGAAGTTCAAGTATCCGAGACATACCATATTTTGGCAGTGTTGTATCCATATGCCCTTGCAGGAGGGGTGGTTGCTTTGCTCTAAACACTGAGAAACGTAGGAGAGGATGTTAATGGCCCGTGTTTCTCTTGATATTTTGCTATTTTCCTTCCAACTCTGGCACCTCATGCTGGAAATATTTTGACCAAGGTTACGGAGCGTGTCTGTGATAAAAACAAGTAGGTGCTTTGGAAGAGCATGGCCCTTGGTTATCAGCTCAGACCATTCCCTAGCGTGTTGTGTTACCATGACTGACAGGTACAATGTATGTCGCAGTTAACTGAACGAGTGCCGTCTGCTGTTCTTTATGATGGATATATTGTTGCTACTAAAAAGGAATGATATAGTTTGACTAGCAGTATCATCCTTGGTGTGTTTTTGTGAGGTTTTTGTGAGGTTTTTATGAGCTCAGATAAAAGTGAAAGTTGTTGCTTATGTGAATGAACTTACTTAATTTTTTCTTTTTGGTGTCTAGGTCGTTCAAAAATTTAATGCACGTTGGACCACGGATGAGCAGCTTCTTGCTGTGCAAGGTATGGCACCACAAGCCTATCTGTACTTCAGTTGGTGATAAAACTCTTCTGCATTTCAGAGCTGTGTTTCCCTTCAGTGGCTAATGAAGAATTTTGACATTGCTGTGTATTAATGCACAAAGAATGGAATTGAACAAGGAAATTATATTACCCCCTCCCTGAGCAATATGAATTGCACCAGATAAATGCTTGCAAATATCTGTTTGCCCAAGCTTTCAGAAAGTGAAACTGTACTGGAGTCACTTTTGTGATCTTTGCCTCTGTAATGTCTCAAGTAGTACAGGCAGATTTACACACATGTTCTAGATTTGCCCATCTCTCGTGCTACACCTCTATTTTCTTCTCTTCTGCAGGGCTGGTCTTAACTATGTCTCTTGCCTAATTTAGATTACTTCTTTTTTTCCCTTTTTTTTCACCCCTGGATTAATCTGAGAAGGGCTTAAAACCTTGACGGAAGTTCAGCTTTGGCTCCTTGTGCTGTGACTTGAGCCTGAATTGTAGTCTTTGTGGAAAATAACTCATAGCTTTTGTTTTTCTTTTTGTTGCTTTTAGCAATCAGGAAATACGGTCGAGACTTTCAGGCAATCTCTGATGTGATTGGAAACAAATCTGTGGTGCAAGTGAAAAACTTTTTTGTAAATTATCGACGTCGTTTCAACATAGATGAAGTTCTACAGGAGTGGGAGGCAGAGCATGGCAAAGAGGAGACAAATGGAACCAATAGCCAGAAGCCTGTAAAATCCCCAGATAATTCCACTAAAATGTCCGAAGAGGAAGATGAGGTAAATCCTATTTAAAAGTCACATAAAATTCCCAATCTGAGCTGAGTTCAGATGCATGTGTACGTGTGTGGGTATATATGCACACACATACACTCTTTGCAGAAGCCATTTTTGACAATCTTCAATCTGAGCGTGTTATCACTTCCTCTGGATATACAGATTCCAGTACTGATTTTGGGAACTGGGAATTCCAGACATATGTGACAGAGAACACTTAATTTGCAGCCCTCTGGCAGTATCTGTACCTCATCAGCACATGGACATTTTAATGCCTATTGCTGCCGAAACTCCATACGTCTTTATCTCACTTGGATATTTTCCCTGCACTCAGTTCTCCAAGCTGTTCTAGGTTTGGCTTTGGGACTGTACAGTCGTCTGAGGCAAAGCTCGCGCTTACGTTTTTGACGATGGAGTGGTTTCCTTCAGGGGAAGGGAAGGAAGCTATAAATAAGGCGAGTGTGTGAAACTGTTCACTCTGGAATTGCCTAGAGACAAAGTTTCCCTGATTTTACAGTAGTTTCTGTGAAGACAAAAGTTCTAGAAACAGCCTCTCCTTGATGGAGCTTCACGGAGATAACACTCCTCCAAAGACAAGACAGTGTGTGTTTAAAGTTAACTAAGAGACTGTGAGTGTTTAAATATGAAAGTTACAAAAATGTAATATTAAAACAGTCTTGCAAAAGAAAACCATGCTAGAAGTTTGCATGTTAAAAATATCTGATCTAGGACTCCCTTTGGCCTAATTTTGATAAGCTTGGCATAAAAGTCCTATCTTCTAAAGGCAAGCACAGTCCACAACATAAGGCAAATTTTGGTTTCACATAGAGTAAAGACTTTTCAGTGTATTGTATATTTTTGTTGCCCTGATTATGGTTGGCTCACTTGCGCATTGCTGTTCAGGCATTCAGAAAGAACTTAATTACTTCACAAATCCTGATAATGTGTTAGTCAAAGATGCTTGTATCTGGGCACTAGGTCCAAAGGTATGACAGATGAGCAAAACCAAACTCAGAAAACTTGTCTTCTCAGAAGGATGTGACTGAAATTGTCCTGTTCTTCCAGAACTGAGTTCTGGGGCAAAGAAGCAATGGTACTGCCATGTAGCCACCCATCTGAAAGACGGGTGGCCTTGTGTCACTGCCTTTTCCTGCGACCAGTCAAATTGTCTGTGTTTGTGGTGCAGAGCTTTTCTTCTCTGAGCCCTTTGAGATTCTTCCTTCAAATGCAGCCCTGCTCCTGAAAGCCAAAAAAACCAGAGTCTCACTTGAGATAGGAAGAAAATGTGTTAGGTTGCAGTGAGAACTGGAGTATGGCCAAGTGTGTGGCTACTGGAGCAAGGAGGATCTTAGACAAGTTGGAGGAAGAGGAGGGAGTGTGGAGGCATGACAGCAAAGTCTGGTGAGTTGGCTGGCAGAGCAGCAGTGATGATTCCTAAACTAGTGATGGAAAGCGCCTCAGCTGGAGCTGAGCAAGGGCCGTGTGCTGAAAAGGGGACCAAAACAATAGGCTGGAGGGAATAGCTCCAAAGCCTAGAAAAAAGGCAGCTATTGTGAGAGTCAGGTGGTTCACTGTGTTCTGCAGTACCGCAAGGGATGAGGACAGAGCCTGCCTGCACCAGGCTGGTGCGGGCAGGGTGGCAGTGAGCCACCAGCCGTGACCCACCGTGTCAGCCTTCCACCAGCACCACGTGGCTTGTGGGTCTTGATGAAGCCAGTTCTGGATGGCAAGAACTGATGTGTCACGGCTGGGAGGAGGAGGAAGGTGCTGGCAGCATGGTGGGATTTTTAACTACCAAGCCTGCAGCTTTTTATCAAAATGCACAAGAAAGGGACACAGAGGTCTCACAGAGCGGACATCTAAAGGCCATGGTGCTCTCCGAGCCCATCAGATGTTGCCTGTGGAGGCTGGCTGTAAATGTGGCACTCTGGCTTCAGAGGTAACACAAGCATGGTGGCGATGGCGTGCCTGTCTGAGCAGTTCTGGGGGCAAAGTGAAATGGCATTTAGATTATCACAGAAGTGACATATGTGGGCTAGGAGGGGAGTTCCTGGTCTCTCCTGAGCTGCACAACAGCACCATGCAGCTGGTTGTTGCTCTTGGGAGTGCTTGCACAGGCAGCTGGTCAAGTCAGGTGGACTCAGTCAGCAGTAGCTGGGAGAAGACTTTGCTGGCCGAACACTGAAGTCTGTTGGGTGCTTTCTCCCATGGCATGCCTTGTCTACCTGGCTGTCAGCCCAGTAAAAGCTTTGTCAGTCCTCTGACTGCTCTGGGCTTTCCCCTTCAGTGCGTTTTCATAGCAAGTAGCCACAGTTCCCCCTTTTTAAAAAATTTTTTCTGTTTTTTCTTTTTCGTCTCTTTTTGAAGGGGGAGTTGAGACTGTTGATGATTAAGCAGCCTCGACTCCAGTCTTAATTGATTATAAAGTAGCCTTAACTCCAGTCTTAACTGGTTATAAAGCAGCCTCAACTCCAGTCTTAATTCTTGTATATCTACACTCCCAACAAATCCCAGTGTGGCTCAGAATAGGGGAAGCTGCTGCGATTCTTCTCATGTGCCAGGGTTGTCCATCTTGTCGTCGCTTTCAATGCTGTGGACCTGGGGTGAAGTTTGGAGATGCAAGAAAGCCTGTGTGAATTCATTTCTAAACTAAACATCTCCTTTTTCTTCCCCCTCCCCCTTCCCTCCAGGCTACTTCTGTTCTTGATGTCAGATATGCATCTGCTTCGTGAGAAGGTGCTGTAGCCTAGAACAATTTGTGTTGACTACTGTGTTATCCAAGATATCAGGTATTAGCAAACCTCAGACAGCCATCTGCATCATATCTGTGGACAAGCAGCTATTACCAAAAAAAGGCAAACGCTTCCAGTCCTGTGCTACATCTGCCTTAATCTCCCCTCATTCCTCCATACTGCCTCCACTTTCTTTCAAAAGCACCCAGGTAGCTCAGCTTTCCATTTCATCAACGTCCTGCTTAAGCATTGGGATTTCTAGAACCAGTAACACCTGTCTGTAAATTTTGACCAACCTGCAAAACAAGGAGCTCCTTAGCAGCCCCACAGTGACTCTACACATTAGGAGTTCTTATAAGACTTGGTCCGTAGGGTATAAGTATGTATCGCTGCATGGCCTTGTGGTCTCTGCTTCCTGTGTATTCTTACAATGACACTATTATTAGTGAGCTTTCTATAAAGGAGAGGCCTCTGCACATGCCAGTGGTGTCAGGTTTGTTATGAAATGACAGGGCATGTTAACAAGCAATCTTGAATAATGCAAAGTAATAGGAAATGTTATTTCTAAGGTTTGGTCAGTCCAAGGCGGGAGGCGTAACTCATCACTTTTCTGGTTTGTGCAATTCTTTCCACTGTATTTGTGTGTTCTTGCTTCATAGAAAGCTCCCTAATTAAGCATTTTATTCCTGTATATTTTAATGGCTTTTATTTAGTGTGAAAGGGAATACGTAACCTGAAACCGTTCAATACGCTATTTAACCCCTGGCATTCAGCATTTGCATTGTAACTTGTTAAATGAGTGCTACACAACTTTCTTTTTTCCTGATCCTCTGTGGGATTAAGTCAAAACAACTTTCTCTGGTGCCTCTCCTTTTGGAATATGTGCCTTTTTACATTTGGCTACCATAGGTCACTTTCTGTCCCAGTGTCTCATTCCTCTTCAGAGCGCTGTTTGCCAAAGACATCAAACCACTTCTCCCACTGGAAGTCTGGGCAAGGGTTGGAGGACAGAATTCAACCTTCAAGTAGTTCTTGGTCTCGGAAGTTTGATGGAGAAGAACCGGGTTAATTTCATTGGCCATTTTAACCCTTCTGAAGCACACATCGCTTTCATGTTCTGAACCAAAATATGCAATTTAAAATCTAAGAGGTGCTTTTCCAAATACTTGGTGCATGCAGCTTTCAAATCCCTGGCCCTCTGCTCAGATGACCTGTGCTGTGGCTTGTCTAGCTGGCTTGAACTGGAGCTGTTCTTGGAAGGCCTGTACAAGGACTTTCCACCTTGAACAAGGTCGTTCCTGACTGCTGAGCAGACAGTGTTCGCAGAAGCTAGAAACAGCAGTATTACTTCTTGTCCAGTGGAAAGCTGCAAAATAACACTAGTCACAAAGCATTTTAAAATGGTTGATTTAATGTCGTTAGAAGAAGCCACCCAGGTGTCTTTGCAGGTGGAAAAAAGGACCTTCTTTGGCCCTCTTCCTCTACAGAGGGTTCGGGCCAAGATGGCAACAGAGCAATGAACGGCACCGGCCTCTTAACACAAGCCGAAACGAGCTGGTCCATGTCCTGGCCTGCAGCTGTGGTGCTGCAGCTTGGGGTCTAGCCCCGACCTTGGTGCTGATGTTTGAGCTGCGGGGCTGTGCCCTGTTGCAGACCGTGACGGCTCTGTTCGCTGTACCTAAAGGAGGAAGGCTAATGGCAGCCAGCTGCCAGAGCCAGCTGGGGCTGCACCTCCTGCAGGGCAGACATAGCCCAAGGAGAGGCAGGGGGAGGTTGCCTTGCGTACCTCTGAGGTGGTCTCCTCGTTGGACTGTGTGTGAGGAAAGGAATTCGACATCGGAAATTGAGCAACACCAGTGCAGGCGAAGGAGCAAATAGGCATTACTCAGGGCAAACTAGAGCGGGGAGCCCGAAAAGGGCCTGTTTCAGCTATTTCTGAGCAATTTCATTCTGGTAGTTTCAGAGAGATCTTTGAGGTGATGGGAGGATGAGTGGGAGCCATTCCCTATCGTCCTATCGGAAACCCACAATCCCAGGTTGTGGTGGCATCTCTGCAGCTGTTGGTGAGAGCTGGCAGCTCTGGTGGTGGCCCTGCCAGATGTTCCTTCAGGCCTGTGCCCGTTGGAGTTGGGAGTCTTTTGGGGGAAAGGACACTAGTTGTTAGCCAATGTGAATTAGGATTAAAGACCGGGCAAATAGCACTGTGAATTCAACTGACAGGTGTGGTGTAAAGCAATGCCGCTCTTCAGAAATACTCGAGTGTTAAACCTCCTGCTGGCAGCACTGCGGGGAGACGGGTCCTCACCAGTGTGGGAGGACTGCGGGAGCTTGCATCCCAGCTGGCGAAACTCATCGGGAGAGGCTTCTCCTGGCGAGTTAGGTTACCTGTGAGGACTCTCCATCACTTTTTGCCCTCAAATCTGTCCATCTTACGAACAGAAAAGTTGTGTTTTGGCTTCATCCCCAAGGGGTAGGGGGAAACATGTATAATTCGTGATATTAGGAAGAAAAAAGTTGTTTAATTACTTTTCAGTTGTCTGCTATCTTACTGTAGTTGATACATACAATATAATAGCACTGTATTTTAAACGTTTAGTTTTTTACATTCTCTTTAACTATGTTTTTAAATGCAATAAAATCATTTTAGCCTCTTAAAGTTTAAATGGTTTGGTCTTGTTTAGGTGAAGACCCTTGTTTTCTTTTTTTAAATGGGTCAAGCATTAGATACATGAACTGGTTGCATTCTCATTAGAAGGGTCCACAAAGATAACTGCATAAGATAGAATATTCACTTAAATTTTGTTTCTTAAACTATCAATGTGAATGTCATAATTATATATATTTTGTGGAAAATGGGAAATTATTTCTCCTAACTATAAGTTATTGTGCAAAATATGGTATCGTTAAAGAAAATGATAGTTTAAGTTTTAGTTTTAGAAATCTTAAAGATATAAAAGTGTATTGCATATGCATAAAAAAATTTCATTTGTTCTATTTAATTTTTATGTAGTTGTGTAAAGTGCTAGGTAACTTCTTTTTTTTGCTTATCCATTAAAACAACCTTGTTACTTGAATATTCATGTTAACTGGTTTGAAACAGTGATCAATTTTTGTAAAACCAAGGGAAAAAATATACATGCCTCAGTTGTGCTTAACAATATAGCAACAATGTACAATCAGATGCTTAAGACCATAGTAGCCATAACTGGTAGTGCAACCACAGTGGTTGTGTCTTGATATATTTAATACCAATGGGGATAGCGAATTCTTAATATATTTTTACAAGTTTGCAACCAGGAAGACCCCATAAATATCCACTAGAATACTTTTTTAATAGTCAATATAAGAGTTAAACTCTTACTCTCTTAAAGCAATGTCCTGACAAACATTTTGCTTTCCTGTACAAATACATCTGAAACATTATGTATTAAAATATGCTCATTGTCACTTTAAATTTCAGGTTTTATTCTCTAAATCGTTAATATGCTGTTGGTATTCTTGCACACCAAATATGAGCCAAACAGTGCATTACACTAACTTGATCACTGAATTTGTGAACATAAATCTCTAAGTCAATGAAGCGCAAAAATATTGTAGGAGATTTTTCTGATGTGTTTTTTCAAATCTGTATAAAATTATACATAGCCCATTCAGCAATGAGTGGCCTGATATTTACTCTTTACAAAAAAAAAAAAGAAAAGAAAAAAAAAGGAAAAATTATTTTTGTTATCTACAGCTTGTCTTCAGCGAGTCAAAAATCTAGTGATCTTGTGCAATGCCCCTAAAGCAAATACTTTCTGCCACTCCCTGGATTAATGCAGCTTTTCCTGTTGATAGTAAAGCACAATTGCAGTGAAAGTTACAGTTCAGAAGATGGAAGGTCAGTATAGTCTATGCATGTTGTATAATAATGAGTGTTTACATTCATATTCTCCTAAAATAAAATTTATACTGGAGTGTATAGTATTCCATTATGTAGATTTTATCAATTTTGTTAACTGCTTATAGATTGCTTAAAAGAAGTTTTTTCAAGATTTTAAAAGATGTATAAGGTTAAGTTTGCAAATATAATGGAAATGCTGTATAGCTTTTGAAGTGATAAAATACTCGTTGGGATTTTAAAGAAAGTATGTTGTTATAATGCTGTTGTAAGTAATATTTTAAATGTCTTTTTTGCCTGTTTTCTATTATTCAGCACACTTACTGTGATGAATGTTCATAGCATTATAAAATTGCTTAGCCACTGAAAAGTAACATTTGGTTTTGAATTATTTTACTGTATGAGGAACTGTAGTGGGGTAAATTCCTTTGTGAAATTCTACATAATTCATTTTTCTATGATTTCCAATGTTTGCCGACATCAAATAAAATTTTTTCAAGCCATTGATGTAATACGTAGTAAAATGTTATTGGTGTAACACGTGGTTCTGAAATGTAATTGACCCCCTACCTTTCGTACCTTGGGTCGGAGGGAGCCGACAGGTGTTTGCCCCTCCCTGTATCACGTCAGTGGTGGCGCGTGGGGGTCGCTGGGGCGCAGTCGCTGCCACCGGGCTCCACGGGCAGTGGCCCCATCTCTTGAGAAGCTTGAGCAGCCCGAAGCCCGGTGTCACCAGCTGGAGCCAGAGGCCCTGGGGAGGTGGACGTTCCTTTTTTGATTGTGTGGCGTGTTCCTCCCCACCGGCCGCACAGCCCCGCGCTCTCTGGGTCCCGCTGGCAGGAGACAGCTGTTGGTTTGGGAAGCGGTGGGACTGGGGTGCTGGGTGGGCTTGAGAGGGTAGAGCCGGAGTCTGGCTCCTAGGGTATGGATGGAGACTGGCTGACAGCGTCTTTGCTGTTGTGAGGACCTGAAGAATAAATTGCTGTCTGCTCCGCGCAAAAGCCGCCACTTGGCTGTACGAGTTAATGAGTTTGTCATCTTTTGTCTTACAATGAAAGAAGGGTGTTTAAAATATATAGAAGGCAACTCTTACCCTTGAAGCCTAGCAGGGTGTTGCTATGAGGCTCAAAAGGGCAGGAATTTTTGCACTGTGGCTGAACCTTGGGATTTGCAGGAAGGTAATATTTTATGTCTTCACATGCTGGTCCCCATGTGTTGCCTGATCTGGTTGAGAGGCGTCCCTGCCCCGGACAGGGAGGTTGGATTAAATGATCTCTAAGGTCCCTTCCAGCCTCGGCCATTCTATGATTCTGGCTACAACTAAGCACTAAATGCAGAAGTACAGATAGTGTTTTGGGGGAAAGTGTTTTGTGTTGTCTTGTTACATTCAAAAGGCAGGGGCCCCGCAGTACTCTGGATGTTACCCCGCAGAGTCTGGATGTTAGCACCGGACGAATGGCAAAGAATTTTCTGCTTTGCTCGCGTGTGTAAAATGCAGCAGAACTAAATAGAGCGAGATATTGTGGTAGTTTCCAGTGCTGTAGCGCGTGGAGGGCAGGAATCAGTCATGCCTTTTTGTATCGTAAAGAAAGGATGGGGAAGGGAGATGGCCTTGGGGTTTTGGAAGCACAGACAGCATTTTTA